TTTGCAGCCTTGATCATGCAGTTTAAATATTAATTTGCTAAAATTAAGCGAATAGCTTTAGTAGTAGTTTAACAAATAAAGTGAAAATTGTTGGGAATTCAAGGTAAATTCTAAGTGAATTTCAAATTTTACATCAAAATAGCCACATTGAGACATAGTTGACTTGAACGTTATATTGAATTTGGCTATTGCGGCTTAGAATTGGAAACTTACTTTGAATTAATCTTGAATTACACAATATTCACACTTTAAAGAGACATTATAGGAACCCAGACCATGGCAGCTCATTGACGTGGTCTGGGTGCAGTGGGATAACAAAGAACATTCAACAAGGCTGACATGTGTAGAAAGGGACAGTTTGCTGTGAAATGTGTGTGCGAAGGGGTCTGCTTATGGTGTACTATGTGCTGAGTGTGCACATTGTCATGAATATGGACTTTAGAGACTGTGTTTGTGTTAAAAGGGCCTGTAAGGTGTGTGCAGGTGTATCTAGGGGCTGCAGTGTGAGTGTATGTGCATTAGGGTTGCATTGTGTGTGTTTATCAAGGAGATGTAATGTGTATGTATATATATATATATACATCAAAAAGTAGATAGTCAGCACTCAAGGTCTTGTAAGAAAAGAATTTAATAATATGAAGATCCCACAATCGGTCAATGTTTCAGTTCAGTTCAAAGAACTTTCATCAGGACATGGTATCTAGTATCTATGTCCTGATGAAAGTTCTTTGAATTGAACTGAAACATTGACCAATTGTGGGATCTTCATATTATTAAATTATTTTCTTACAAGACCTTGAGTGCTGACTATCTACTTTTTGGTGTATATTGTGCTGACCACCGGGCAAAAAGACTGGGAAGCTGGAGTGCAATAACTAAGAACTGTGTCTATATGTATATATATATATATATATATATATATATATATACACATACACACACACACACACACATATATACATATGAGTTGCAGTGTCTGTGTAATGGGCTGAAGCAGGGCCGGCTTTAGGGGTGTGCGAGCTGTGCGGCCGCACAGGGCGCCATGGAGCAGGGGGCGCCATGCAGCCGACACAGCTTACACATGGCCGGGTGACAGGAGTGCAGGGGAGCGAAAGCAGGTACCCGGGTGGAGGATTTTATTATTCTCCACCCGGGACTAATATAAAAATAGCATGGCGAGGGGATGGGGGGAGGGTTAAATGGCTGTGGAGGCGGAGCTAAAACTCCCAGAAGCTCCTGGTAATAACTGCTGCACAGGAAAGAGGAAAGCAGGAAGGAGTCCCTGCTTCTCCAACAACTAGACTACAGCTGCACTGCCTTCACTCCTTCCTTCCAGCCATAATGGAAAGAGGTAAGTCACAGACACACAGGAAGACAGTCACATACACACACACACACACTGTCTGCTTGCATGTGTGTGTGTGTATGTGACTGTCTTCCTGTGTGTGTGACTGTCTGACTGTATTTGTGACTGTCTGTCTGTGTGTGTGACTGTCTGCCTGTGTGTGTGTGTGTGTGTGTGACTGTCTGCCTGTGTGTGTGACAGTATGCCTGTGTGTGTGACTGTCTGCCTATGTGTATGTGACAGTCTACCTGTGTGGGTGACTGTTTTCCTGTGTGTTGCTGTAGCTGTGCCTTTGTGTGTGCCTGCAACTGTGTGTGACTGTCTGCCTTTAACTGAGTGTGTGTGTGCCTATCTATGTACGTGTCTGCCTGCCTGTAACCGAGTGTTTGCCTGTCTGCTTGTAGCTAGATGTGTGTAACTGTCTGCTTATGACTGTGTGTGTGACTGTCTGCTTGTGATTGTGTGTGTGACTGTATGGCTGCAACTGTGTGTATGTGTGTGTGACTGTCTGCCTGTAACTGAGCGTGTCTGACTGTCTGCTTGTAACTGTTTGTGTGGCTGTCTACCTGTAACTGTTTGTGTGGCTGTCTACCTGTACCTGTGTGTGTGACTGTATATAGACAACTGAGTGTGTATGTGACTGTCTGCCTGTAACTGTGTCACAGTATTATGTGACATACTTAGTCTGCCCCTCTGTAATGCAGTGGAGGCAGTCTGGCACCTCTGGCCTGCACTTCTCTGCTGGCTGCAGACCATAAGTAGCTGTTTTCAAATGTTCGGCCAATCAGTATGTTGTTGCGGATTACCAGAGGAAAGCATTGACACTGTAAATGCCTGAGCTTGCGAGGCAGTTACTCATAGTTTGCATCCGGTGAAGGGGCAGACCAGATTCCCCACCATGAAGACTTTTCGCACAGGGCACTTAATGGCCTAAGGCCAGCCCTGGGCTGAAGTGTGTATGTGTGAGTGGGTGAATGTGTGTATGCGGGTGATGAATTTATGTGTGGAATAAAGTGTGTAGAACTTGTGTATGGGGAGGTATACTGTGAAAATCACATTGACCTAACGCAGCGTGAGTTTAGATCACCATAGGAAAGCTCCACTTGGGAACTGGCGTCGGCAGGGGAGGAGTAGTCACCAGCGTCGAGGGAGCCCGGCGGTCGATTAAGGTAAGTGGCTGAAGGGGGGACCACAAGGGAGGGGTGGACCTAATAACCCTATAGTGCTAGGAAAACAAGTTTGTTTTCCTGGCACTATAGTGCTCCTTTAAGCTGTAAGTAGTGTAAATCTCCCATGTGAAAATTAGTGTTGGACCCACCGATATTGGGGTACTGTGACGTAATGGTGAGCTCAGTGTCGGCCCAAGACATTGCGCTACCTGGGTCCAGCGGCGTACATACCGCAGTCGCAGGGGTCGCAGCTGCGACCGGGCCTGTCACTCCAGGGGGCCAGGCCAGGCCAGGCCCTGTGGACCCCCTGCGACCAGGTGCCCCCTGCCATGTGCTGCAGGTGAACGGGCCCATCGGGTGGCCCATGCTGTAAGGGCCACCCGATGGAAATGAATATCATCATCAGAGTGGGCCTGGTAACAGCGCGACCGGGCCCACTCTGATGATTTCAGACGCTAGGAGGAAGTGACTGCCGCGGTCACTCCTCCCAGAAACCACCAGGAGCCGTGCGGGAGGAAGCAGAGGGAGTCAGAGTGAGAACTCTGACTCCCAAGAATCTGAGCCACTGGACGTCACCCTCCGGCACCTAAAAGGTAGGTAATAGGAGGGTGACAAAAATATTTTGCATGTGTGTGTGTTAGTGTATGTGTCTGTGTGTGTGTGTCTATGTATGTGTCTGTATGTATCTGTGTGTGTGTGTCTATGTATGTGTCTGTATGTATCTGTGTGTGTGTGTCTATGTATGTGTCTGTATGTGTGTCTCTGTACGTATGTGTCTATGTATGTGTGTCTATGTATGTGTGTCTGTATGTATGTGTGTCTGTCTGTGTGTTAGTGTATGTGTCTGTGTGTGTGTCTATGTATGTGTGTCTATGTATGTATCTGTGTGTGTGTCTATGTATGTGTCTGTATGTATCTGTGTTTGTGCCTCTGTGTCTGTATGTGTGTCTCTGTATCTGTGTCTGTGTGTGTCTATGTATGTGTGTCAGTATGTATCTGTGTGTATGTGTGTCTGTATGTATGTGCCTGTGTGTGTGTCTATGTATGTGTCTGTATTTATCTGTGTGTGTCTATCTGTCTGTATGTATGTCTCTGTATGTATGTGTGTCTATGTGTCTATATGTATGTGTGTGTGTCTGTGTGTCTATGTATGTGTGTCTATGTATGTGTGGGTGTCTCTGTGTGTCTGTATGTATGTGTATGTGTGTCTGTATGTATGTGTCTGTGTGTGAGTCTATGTATGTGTCTGTGTGTCTGTATGTCTGTCTGTCTGTGTCTATGTATGTGTCTGTATGTATGTGTGTGTGTCTGTATGTATGTATGTGTGTCTGTGTGTATCTCTGTGTGTCTGTATGGGGTGGCGGTGGGAGGGATGGGGGGCCCCATGGATCAGTTTTGCACAGGGGCCCCATGAATTGTGTGTACGCCACTGCCTGGGTCCAAGGATGAAATGTTGTTCCCCCCATCCATACCTCACACACATCCATTATGTTATGCAGTGTGAATAGTGAATGCAGTGTGGTGTGTAGTGGATGCAGTTTAGTGAGTGCAGTGTCTTTGTTTAGTGGATGCAGTGTAGTGGGTGCAGTGTTTGTGTAGTGGTTGCAGTGAAGTAGATGCAGTGTCTGCGTTTGTATAGTGGGTGCTGTGTAGTGGGTGCAATGTATGTGTTTGTGTAGTGGGTGCAGTGTCTGAGTTTGTGTAGTGGGTGCAGTGTAGTGGGTGCAATGTATGTTTTTGTATAGTGGATGCAGTTTTTTGCATGCCGTGTGTGCAGTAGAGATGGATAAGTACTGTGAGGGAAGATCATTTTTTAAAATATTTATAATTTAGTTCCCCCTCCCCCCTCCCTGCCTCTTACCTGTAGTCATTTGTTTGCTAAGATATGTAATTTTAAGTAGCCTTGTAAAGTGTTAAAGTGTATTTTTGTCTTTGTGTATGCGCTGTTACTTTGTGGATATACCTCCGACTTGTCTATATTTTGAGACCAAAACCCTCTGTCCCACTTTTTTATCCTAGTGTTCCTTTCTTCTAGGATATTCATATTGGTTATATATATAACAAAGCTCCACAGCAATAATACTCACAGCCAGGGCCGGACTGGGAAAAAAATTAGGCCCGGGCATTTTTCAATCAGAGCGGCCCCCTAAGAAAGGGGCGGGGCCAGAGAGTGTGTGTTTTGTCATCACTAATGACAACACGCCCCCTTTCAGTGAGCATGTTGGTTCAATGCCCAGAGCCCTGCTGAAGAGCTCTGACATTAGAAAAAGACCCTGAATTTGTTCTGCGCAGCGCAAGCAAATTTAATAACATGCTTGTGCTGTGTTTGCTTTTAAATTGTCTCTGGTGTTTCCA